TGAAGAACACACTTACGATCCAATACGTTCCAATTTTCGCTCTCTATTACCCATTTTGTTGAGTACGGGAATGATTTCTGGGCTGTTTTGGGCACCCGCGGGATCCCGCGTTGCGTACGGGAGCGAACCTTTTCTGATCATTAGCAACCTTTTCCTTTTGTTCATATTAGGCTCTTTCCCTAACAATACGGACCGAATCCGGTAATTAGAGAATAAGCGGCAAGTTTGCTCTCAAAAATGGAACATAAACCAGAAGTACGGGAACCAAAAAACGACATTTCGTGCCCAGAATTTGAGAAACAACTGGTTCTCGTTTTTGTTTTTGTCACTTAAATACAAAGGTAATTCTCTAGGGTGGGGTAACAACCCCTAAAAAAGGTGCGGAAAAGTCGGGAGGGGTACCAAACGACGCGTTTTGGCCCCCTAATAACAATCCGGAGGGGGGAGAGTAATATTATTAACCATTTAAAAGTTATGAACAAAAAACTTTTGTTAAATTTCGTGGCTTTATATGAGCAATTACCACGTCAAAAATGCAGTAAATCACCAGTTTCCACTTTTAAAACACTACTAAAACGTTTCCGGTTATTATTTTATGCAAACCAAATCATTTATTCACTTTTATTTTATATATTTCGTTAATAAAACAGAGTAAACAAACTTTGGGCCTGCTAAAATTATTATAACCTCAAATCGCTGGTATTGCCACTTTATTTCACATTTCATTTGCGCTATTATACTCAGTTTACACTATACACTTCTTCTTCTTCTTTTTACTTTCATCTATATAAGATATTGTAACCAAAGTATAATAGCAAATTTCGCTATACCATGGCAGCGCTACTTTTATGATTTACAGTTATTTTAGCTTTAATTAAAAGTAAGCGTCATGGAGTGTCAAATGTGCGATTTTACGATTTGCGCGATTTACGATCGCGCGATTTTTTATTAAAAATTTTCATTATTTATATATATATTAAACGAAAGAAGATACCGAAAAGCATTGAACAGTGCACACATCTCATAAGGAAAAGCGAATTATTACGAAAAACTAATACAGTGGCAGCACTATAGCTATTTTGGAATCTCGCGTTTCAGCTCGCAAAGATTGTCAACTACTTTTTAATAACAAAATAATCTATCTTAGCTTGATAAAACTATGTGTTTTTTTAATAAATAAGTTAAATTATATATTTAATAGTGCTTAAAAAGTGAGAACAGGTGATTTTGTGAATCTTTGTTGGTGTAATTGCTCATAGGAAACAACGAAATTTAACAAAAGTTTTTTGTTCATAACTTTTAAATGGTTAATAATATTAGCGCCCCCCCTGCGGATTGTTATTAGGGGGGCCGAAACGCGTCGTTTGGTACCCCTCCCGACTTTTCCGCACCTTTTTTAGGGGTTGTTACCCCACCCTAGAGAATTACCAATACAAACTCTTGGAAATTGAAGTTTTGTTTCACAAATTTGGTTTTAAGTATATAAAGATTGAAAATACATTCACTATTCCTTAAAGCACCAAGTAAATGCAGACAACATGTAAACATAAAACAGCTGATATGCACTATGGCACTTTATCCATTTTTACCCGGGGAAAAAGTCCGGGCTGTTTCGGGCAGGAAGAAGAAGACACTTACGATCCAATACGTTGCAGTTTTCGCTCTCTATTACCCATTTTGTTGAGTACGGGAATGATTTCTGAGTGTATTTAGAATTTGGGCTAAACTGAGCAGTACAGCTGCAGTATTGTGAGTCGCTTCATTGGACACCACACTTTCTAAAAAACAGCTGATTTCGAAAAACTGTCGCTGCCACTGCCACTGCGTTATTGTATTTTGGGCTTAAGAGTGGTAATTTTTCGATAGTATAAAATGACGTACAAGAAATGGCTAAGAAATTTTCTTGAATCAAATTTCCTGCAGACAGTACGCAGTTCTTAAGAAATTTGCTACGCTTTCTGCTACGGGTTTCTAAAGTTTTTTTTTTTTTGAAAAAAGAGCACAAGGCAACCCATGCTTGCAACAGAAATACATGGGGCATATGCCTGTTCCATTATTTCTTGAGGAAAGAGCGAGGCAACAGGCTAGTGAAGTATAAGTTGTCAATATTCTTTGGGCACACTCGAAATAATGGCAATTTTTTCTTGACCGTTTTCTTGAGAGCTGCACTCAAGCATGTGCTGTCTTGTGCTCTTTTTTCACAAAAAATGGTAGAAAACCGTAGTAGAAAGCGTAGCGAATTTCTTAAGAACTGCGTACTGCCTCGAAAATTTTACACAAGAAAATTTCATAGGCTATCTGCACACTTGTCGTCCAATCATAGTTGCGTTATCGTCTCGCCCTGAAATTTTCAGGCGATCATATGCATTTCAAAGGAGATCTGCACACTTGTCGTTATCGGCTAGTTGTCGGAAAATCGTCGAAGATGCAGAAAAGGACAAGTACGGCACTGTAGTTTGCTAATCGTTGTGCACGCATTATTTGTTTACATTTTATGGGGAAAAATTAGTGAAAAAGTTAATATTTGCATTAATTTGCATAAAAGTTAGTATTTTTTGCATAAAATCTCTGGAAATTATTAAAAAGTGGATAATTGCATTGAAATTCAATAAATGTGAGCGTTATAACTTTGACGAAATTGTAAAAAGTCTCTGTGTGCATGCACAAAACACATTTCAGGAAAATAAAATAGGAGATATTACTGAAAAATGATGTCTAGAATTGTTGCAGCACAGTCTATATTTAAAAAATTGCAAGTTTTTGTAAATATTTCCCGAAAATATCAACCAGAAAAATAGAAAATACCTGCTCCAAGTGTATTTTTAGACGCCAAATGAATTGAAATATCACGACCGAGTGTGCGAAAGTGTAGTCGTCATGTAATCGTTGCATCATGATTGTGACGATGAAGCAACTATGATTGGACGACCAATGTGCAGAAAGCCTTAGCCATTTCTTGGACGTCATTTTAGGCCTGTATGCAGCTCTCAAGAAAAGCAAAAACTCCATATAAAATGACGTACAAGAAATGGCTAAGAAATTTTCTTGAGTCAAATTTCCTTAAGACAGTACGCAGTTCTTAAGAAATTTACTACGCTTTCTACTACGGTTTTCTAAAGTTTTTTGTGAAAAAAGAGCACAAGGCAACCCAGGTTTGCAACAGAAATATATGCCCGTTCCATTATTTCTTGAGGAAAGAGTGAGGCAACAGGCTGTGAGGTATCAAAAATGTCAAAATTCCTTGGACACACACGCGAAATAATGGCAATTTTTTCTTGACCGTTTTCTTGAGAGCTGCATACAGGGCTTTTATATGGATTTTTTGCTTTTCTTGAGAGCTGCATACCGGCCTTATAGTGTTAAGAACTATCGATAGTGATAGAACTTTTTAGAAAAGTATCGATACTAGTACTCATATAGAATACTCTAAAAAAGTATCGATGCCAGTACTCATATTTGCCTAAAAGTATCGATAATACTCGTACTTCCAAGTATTCTCAACGCAAGCGCAAAAAGTAAACAAAAATTAGATTGCTTTGCTTTTTACACCTCTTCCTATTTGTAAATTGAATAGTCACTACTCTTAATAGCTTTAATCTGATCTAAAGGAGTTTTTGGAATAAACTTCCGATGAATTAGTTTTACATGCGTAAATTTAATGTTTATAGCAAAAAGCTTATTTCAAAGTTTTTAAAAGCAAATATTTTATAATTGTTTGACGCGTACATGTATTTATAAATAACTTTACTTTGAAAATGAAATGCAAATGTAGAAGACGAGAAGCAAATGTGATGATAAGCTCTCTTGCATAAAAATGTTCTTCAAGAATGGGCTGGATTTCAAAACGAAGGTAGAATACATGATAAAAATATAGTAAGGTAGAACCGCTGAGAGTCACTTTTAAAATTCTTGACGTTTCCAAACAATTTAATTTTTAAATTTACCCACAAACTCACACACACATTTTCACTTTCAATCTCAAGCAACAACAATTTCGAACAATTTCATTTATTTCTTTTCACTTTTATATGATTTTAAAATGTTGGCAAACTTCAAAATAAAATTATGGCCGACAAATTGAGAGAACGGTTCTACCTTGCTATATTTTTATCATGGTAGAATATATGGGTTAACGACGGCTGCCTTATGCTGGAGAGTGGCCAAATTGTCGAGTCGGAAGACCATCCTCTTCCACCGTTCATTATCAAAGGAGAGGCAAGATATTCGTTTTTCAATTATTTAAACATATTTACACGAAGCCAATGTTGAAATGACCGCTCTTTCTCATTTTCTTCTAGGTTGTGTAAAAATTTCAGAACTGTGTCAATTACCAGTAGCTCACTAGAACAAAATATGTATGAATTATTAGTATGGGAGTATACATATCGTCGCCTGTATGCCATAAACATGAATGTGTAAAAATGAAAATTTTGGGAAATCAAGTTTTGAAAGTTTTTTTTTTGCGAGACTTAGCTCTATATTTATGCAATTGAAATTTTAAAATATTTACTTTCCGTGTACGCATGGTGTTCTGGGTTTTGGTTTAACATAGAAAATCCAAAGATTAACCAAGTCAACCCAATAACTCAAAACTGATAAATTTGAACATTCATGCTTCTGGCATGAGGGTGACGATATGTGAATTAACAACTTTAAAGGCGTGTTTCTCGGGTTTTCGGTTTTTTGAGTTATGACAGTATTGAAGTAAATGAGCTTTATGTTCATTTTCATAACATTCATATTGGATATTGAAGTTAATATTCGAACGTTCGCCACAATATTTATTGGGTAATTTGAAAAAAAATTTCTTAACTCCTCGATACTTTTCGGCATTCGCGATATTTACTCAGTACTTATGAAAAAGTATCGAGTTCCGATTACTACTCAGTACTCATGAAAAGTATCGATATTCTGTACTCGGTACTCGTATCGTTCTATCATTAACTATCGATAGTAGACCGAATCCCAAAGCCATCGATACTATCGATAGAGCATCGATAGTTTGACGGGTCTATTACGATTACTGGGTTCCAATTTATTTTACATTCTTTTTATTTTACTTTGCAGATTTCTGAAGTGACTAATAAAAATAGATTCCTTATTTAAGATTTTCTTTGCAACAAATGTTAAAAAGCACCTCAAATGGTAGTTGTCGAAGTGTATCACCAAACAAAATCAAGCATCGTCAACATGACAAGCGCATCTGTTTCATCCTCTTTGGCTAATACTGCAGCTTCGGTTTCCACTGGGCCCAGCGCCGGAGTCCCCGCCTCGGGTGGAGCGGGATCGCAGTCCTCTGCAAAACCAGCATTTCCGCGACTTTTTAATAAAATTGTACTAACCCTGGAAAATAGTCTTATTCCGGAGGCAAAACTCAATGCCACGCCATCACATGTGGACGGATTGGATCCTGAGACGGAGAAAGACTTACGTATACTTGGCTGCGAGTTAATACAAACGGCGGGTATACTGCTTAAATTGCCACAGGTTGCAATGGCTACGGGGCAAGTAATATTCCAACGCTTCTTTTATTCAAAGAGCTTCGTGCGCTATAATATGGAAACTGTGGCGATGAGTTGCGTTTGTTTAGCGTCTAAAATTGAAGAAGCTCCTCGACGCATTCGGGATGTAATCAACGTTTTTCACCACATAAAGCAAGTGCGCGCCCAAAAGTATGATACATTTATACGTAATTATTTACCTACTTACAATAATTTTTTTTTAGAGACATAGCTCCGATGATATTAGACCAGACGTATACTAACCTGAAGACACAGGTTATAAAGGCAGAGCGGCGTGTGCTCAAAGAATTAGGATTCTGTGTTCATGTAAAGCACCCGCACAAATTAATTGTCATGTATTTGCAAGTAATGAAATATGAAAAGCACGAAAAGCTTATGCAAATGTCATGGAATTTTATGAATGACTCTCTGCGTACGGACGTTTTCATGCGCTATCAGCCCGAAACTATAGCTTGTGCTTGCATCTATTTGAGTGCACGGAAACTGGGAATATCCCTACCGAATAACCCTCCATGGTTCGGAATATTTCGGGTGAGCGAAGATCACATAGTTGATATCTGTTATCGAATCACGGAATTGTACATGCGCGCTAAGGTATAAAATAATATAAACTAAATATCACAACACTAAAATTTTTTAAAATATTTTACAGCCAAATGTTGAAAAGATGGACGCTGCTGTTGAGGAACTAAAGAAACGTTATATGGAGTCTCGCAACAAAAACAAAGAACAAAATACACCTCCAGCAGTTACCACAGTAGATCGTAATAATGGTTCACATAATGCATGGGGTGGTTTTATACAACGGGCAATTCCGTTACCGCTGCCAACAGATAGTAAATCACCTGATAAGGATTCGCGATCCCGCTCGCGTTCACGTGGTTCGCGTTCACCTAAATTTACATCGCGTTCACGCAGCCGCTCTCGTTCCGCTTCCACTGGCACAGTTGAGTACAAAAGCCGCAACAAAAAATCACATAGGTCTCGCAGTCGATCTCGAACTCCTCCAGTTACTAAAAATAAGAAAAAGTCCATGCACTACTCGCGCTCGCCCTCAAGTTCACCACACGCGAAACATCGGAAAAGGTAAAGATCTAAACAACTTTTTAGTCTATGTAATTGTATGCAAGATACATCTGCCTTCTTTAATTTCAGGAAATCATCTAGGGAACATGACCGCAACGATTATTATTCCAGCAAGGAACGAATGAGTAGTAGTGATAAATATCGAGATCGCGAGAAGTATCAGGATTATAAGGAGTCAAGCAAACACCATCACAATTATTCCAGCAAACATCACCATGGATATTCGAATCGCGGCTCTTTACATCATGGTGGCCATAAACACCGTTCAAGTGACCACGAACGCTCTCGCGATCGTAAAAGGTAAAATGATTTTGAGAAATTTGCGAAGTCAACTAATTAATTAATCATAAAATTGCATAAATGCCGATTATTCAGAGGACTAAATCTAATTTTCTTATCTCTACTTTTGTGCGATTGATAGTATATGTAGTTATAAAGAATGTATGTTGCATCCAAGAATAATAATAAACAATCTCACTTGTCGGCGATATGTGATATATATTACAAAGTTTTATTGTGTTTCACCTGCGTGTAATAAAATCTTGCAATCAATTTTTAAGGCCGATTGTTCAATGTCTGGTTATCACTACCACTACACTATCTACGATTTCGACATCATGCAGTCGTTGTACTTAACCGGAGCTTCTACCTCCGATTTGTGATAATCAGACATTGAACAACCGGCCCTTAACCAACTTCCCGTTGAGCTAGAGACTTGAAACATCAAACTTAGCTCAGAACTCGATGACAATGCAATGTGATGCACAAATTAATTTTCTAGGTGGCGCAGATGTCGAGGTATTTGAAACAGCCGTATTTATAGTCAGATAGTTTTAGTGGGCTTATTTTATAGGATTTAAAATTGCATGGTTAGCAGTCGGCAAACAATATTGAATCAGAGTTGTGGGTGGTAATACGTACATATATTTAATACTTTTTATGTAATGCATATATGAGGAAGTGCTTTAAATTTTGAGTACAATAGGAATTTTACTATCACTAAATATATTTAAAAAAAAATCGACTTTTTGCCTTTTTTCGAGAATATAAAACCAACACCGCACTTGGGATGCATTTGGCAAATTATTTTATGGTATTTGAGACATACCATACAAGGTTTGAAAAAAATCCACTCGCTGCCGCTGGTTTTGGGTTATTTTAAAACAACTTTCAAATTGGCTCATATTTGAAATATGTTTTAGTAATGCAGAAAATATTGCTTGCGAGTTCATATACCATAAACTGTTAACTCAATCTTTCAATTTATTGAAACGTTTATGTGTCTCACTAACATTAGTGGTGGATTTTTTTTGCACTATACCTACATATGTATGAAAAAAATGTTTCTTTTTTATTTCACTATCACTATTGTACCGTCAGGCTGATATACGATTTACCAGTACACATCCATAGTGTTGAACATTTTTGCAATATCACTTAGTATTGGGCAGTATCGATACCAAAAGTACTCAGAACTCGATTCTCAAAAGTATCGACAGTACCCGATTTTTAAAAGTATCGATACTGAGTACCCCACAGTACTCAGAACTCACAAAGGAACTCGAGTACTCAGATCTTAAAAGACGCCGAATGTACTCAGCACCCAAAAATACTCTTTTCCTATCATTATTTTGAAACATGTACTCAGGATTGATTCAAAGTACTAAGTATTAGTACGTTAAGTGTCGAATAGATTGTTAAAAGTACTGAGTTTGTAAATTTACCGGTATTCAGCAATGATTGTATGTACTCAATTTCAAGTTTCAAAAATCTTAAGAGTACAAAAGTTATACCCAGTACAGTAAGCCATTCATTTGACGTAATTTGGGATGAACATACTAATTAGAATAAAGTGCAGCCAGCTTGGAAGATTTTGCACTAACCATAGAAATATTACCAGCATGTGTATATTTAAAGAAAGTAGTCAGTATTCTCAAAAATTCCCGATCCTTAAAAGTATCGATACCAAAGAACCCGATCCTCATAAGTACTCGATACTTCCCAACACTACCATCACTAGCTATTAATGTAAACTGATACCCCAACGCTTTATTGAATTCATTTACATTTTTACGTGTAGGGTATATGGATATCGCGATGGTTCTCTAATTTCTGCAGAATGACACTAAACCCAAATGTCAAAATAAGGCTAAAAAGAAACTTAAGAAAAACAGTGGGGTCTTAACAGCAGAGAAATATAGATTTCTTGAAATATCCAAGTTATGGCCGATATTCTTCAAATAGATGGTAGCTACTTGGAAGGCGGTGGCCAAATCCTACGTAATGCACTCAGTTTGAGCTGTATCCTTTGTCGGCCAATAAGAGTCTTCAATATACGTGCCAATCGCCCCAACCCGGGACTTTCAAATCAACATTTATTTGGTTTGAATCTTTTGCAAAATATCACTGGAGCTCGTGTTCATGGTAACCACATGAAATCAACTGAAGTGGAGTTTCATCCTGGCGATATCAAATCTGGACGATACACGGTAGACACTCGGACGGCTGCAAGCGTGGCACTGGTACTGCAAGCTGCATTGCCTGTGCTGATATTTGGTCGCAACACAACCGAATTGGAGCTTATAGGAGGCACAAATGTAGGCATGGCGCCCCAGGTTGATACTATGACTGAAGTGCTACGTCCTAATTTGGAACTGTTTGGCGTTTCATTTGATTTTGATCTGATTCAGCGTGGATACTACCCTCGCGGTGGCGGACGATGTAAAGTTTTAGTACCTTGTGTGCGTAATATAAAAGCAGTTACCTTAACCCAATTTGGAACAATAAGCGAAGTGTGTGGTTGGTGCTTTGTAGCAGGTAAATTACCAATGCGTATAGCAGAAGACATGAAAAATGCCGCAGAAAAGGAGTTGAAAACTGTTTGCCATATTCAACCTCAATTGGATGCTTACAAAGAAAGTTTGGAGATAGCACGTGATAATGGTTCTGGCGTAATACTAAAGGCTGTTACAACAGAAGGATGTACACTTGGCTCTTCTGCTTTGGGTGAGCGACAAGTGGATGGTTATGCTCTGGGCAAGACAGCGTCAAAAGAGTTAGCAAGTTATTTGAAAGACAGCGTTTGCGTCGACTCTCATGTGCAAGACCAGTTAGTCATATTTATGGCGCTTGCACATGGTACATCCAAAATACTGACCACTGCACTCACCCAACATACACGTACTGCAATTCATGTAGCAGAGCTGATGACTGGAGCGAAGTTCAATACTGAAGAAGTGGATAAAATCGGTAACGTTATACTATCTTGTGAAGGCATTGGATATCAAAATAAACAAATATAATGTACTAAGTATAATATTAAATATTTACTTTTAAAAACAGTAAATACTGCATTGAAGCTGTAGTTTGTAGTATTCTCTTAGCCTAAAGTCGTCGGAAAATTGCCAAAAAATGGGCACCTTTGTTTCGAACTACTTTAGCACCCTCCTCGCTGCTCTGGTACAATTTCGACGTAATCGGGTCAGAGATCTAGAAATAACAAATGAAAAAACGTATTGTGCTATATAGCTTGCTTTTGAGCCAACCTCTTCCTCATTCGTTAGGCGTTCGAAAAGAGGGTGTTGCAGCATATGCTGAACGATCCATTTGTGAAGATCTTCAACATCAGTCATTGTGTAAACCAGTCCTTCTTTCCGTAGCACATAAGCGTATTCCGATAGAAGAGCTTGGTTTATGATGCGCCACTTGTGTTTGGCACGCTTAAAATGTGGGTCAGGATACAGAAAGAACATCTTATCTAATTGTGCCTTGCGGAAATAGTTCGGTAAGTACTTCATGGCATTAGTACGCAGACAGGCAATGTTGTTATATTTCCCCGGATGAAGAATACGCAGCGCTTTGATGCGATCCATGACATAGTCTGAGACTTTCACGCGTATTTCAAGACCTATTGCCAACCTGTCCGGAAACATGTCTCCTAGTGTGACAAGAAACCCACCATACCCACAGCCTATGTCTGCGAACTCTACGCATTGGCCTTCTGTTAAATTTGGGTACAATTCCTGCCAGTTGACATCATCGGGATGAGCTGGGCTATGACAAAACAACGAATGTAAAAAGCTAGCGTTAGTTTACGGAAAATATAAGGCCTTTTTACTCTCTTACTAGTCGAAACAGTGATCAGCAATTGGATTTGAATGTGCCCTCTGGCGATAATACCGCTTTTGTGGTAATGATATGCCGCTTTCAGGATCCTGCAGCATTTCCATCTTTCCTTATTAGATTGCTGCAAACCCGGTGTTTAATTCATAAACAAAAAGCGTGTTCCGTGTTAAATCGGCGTTTCAATTTGCACGTCAATTTTTGACAGCTGCGATCTGAATCACAAACATAAACAAAGGCACGTGTAATCACAGGCGAATCAAGTTCCATATTACCAAATAATCGAAGTTTTCAGTTAACAAAATATCAATGGCGGAATTAATAGAGGTACTTTTTACCAGTGATTCCAATGAAAATCGAGCATCCATTACTGCGTGGGACTACAGAACAGGAACCAATTTAATGGTGTACAAGGGAGGTGGCGTCGTCCAACAACGCGCCATTTCTTTATTGAGGGGCCACTATGTCGTGGCTGCAAATAGCACCAAGCCTCTTCTGCACGTTTGGCCTTTTAATTCACAACAGCAAGTGACCCATGTACGCTTCGTGTTGCCTGGTCGGGCCAACGCAATGTCACTTTCACCTGATACTCATTATCTTGTGGCAGCAATTCAGGAAAACATCTACATTTGGCACTTGTCGTCAGGAAAGATGTTGAACACAATTTCAAAGCATTTTCAACCCATCAACTGTATACGGTTTGACGAGGACTCGCATTTTGTTACAGCTGGCCAAGACGGATCCGTCATGGTGTGGAACTTGACGACTGTGTGTGCGCGAGATGACGACAATCAAACACCAGTGTATACTTTCACTGATCATGGTCTTCCTGTAACAGACGTGCACATTGGATTTGGTGGCATACGAGCGCATATGATGACAGTTTCGCTGGATCGTACATGCAAATTATATGATTTACTTACTGGTATACAGCTTTTAAATGTCGTTTTTGCGGAAGCATTACACAGCGTAGTAGCAAACACTTTAGAAACGGATGTATATGTAGGAACTGCTGAAGGCAATATATATCAGTTTAGTATCGATGGATGTCCTTCCAAGGTGATATGAGCTACGTAATTACCCTGCATTTTTTTCCCGAAACTTAAGCTTTTCTTCTTAGGAACTCAATGTTGAAAAGGAGCATTCAAATATTTTTAAAGGACATAAACAGGGCACCGCAGTTACCTGTTTGGCAATTTCAATCGACGCTCGATCATTGATCTCTGGTGGACAGGACGAACAAGTGTGCATTTGGGATATTGGCAGTCGCCAACTCTTAAGAACTATACAACATAAGGGCCCTGTAATGAATGTAAGACTTCGTCTTTCAAATCCACATATATTTAAACCAGAGAATAAACCACCGCGAAAATTCTCTAAAAACTTGCGACGCATGCTTGATCCGCCTGAGGCTAGCGATGACGAGGAAATCGAAGTTTTGGTAACTAAAGCAAATGCGAATACAGATTACGATTGGTATCCTATGCCGAAATATCCATTTGATAATCGTCAAAATCCATCTACATCGGCGGCATCTACGACAACTGCCAAGAACAGTTCAGGTGCCGCAACCAAAACTACGGATGAAGAGGCGGCAAAGGAAATCGAAAGATTGCGAGCAGAAGTTCAACATCTAAAGCTTGTCAATAAACAACTATTTGAAGTTTCTACAAAACAATTACTGGAATCGAAGAAATAGCTGTATGCTTTGTACTGATTCTATTATTGATTACACGAATAAATTTAAGTTAATTAATTAAACAAAAGCAAAAATATATAAGCAAGGATTTCACGCCTCTAATACTTTTGTATGTATAACATTTCATTCGTCAGTTGACTCAGGGACTCTTAGTCTGCGGTATTGGTTTTCTCGTCTGCAATGACATTCTCAGCTTTATTAATGAGATTAACAGCTGCCAAAGCCGCTATAGTATCTTTTTCTTTATCTTGGGCTATTTGCTGTCGAATCTCTCGATTAGAATCGAGCAATACCTTAAGCTGTGCAATGATGTCGTCAGTTCGTTGTTCAAAAAAGTCCAAAGCTCGAGTCAACTCATCGAGGCTCTCGTTAACATCCTCTACTTCTGGAATATTCATTTATTGATTTCAATAACATGATTTTTTAAATGACTTATATACCTTGCAGATCAGACTCGTCTGCCTTCGTGGAGGAATTGGCGTCCACAGGGTCGTCGATATTTTTGGGAGTCATTCTAAATGGTTTGTTGCTGCTTGGTCAGCTGACTTTTTCATTTCCTTTTACCAAGTTTTTGTGTTTTGTCTGATCTGAAAAGCTTTTTTGTTTTATTTTCACTTTTCGTCAGTACAAATGTCTAGTTATGTGCTGAATTGTCGGTACCCAATACTTAGAGCCCAATACTTGAAAAAAAATTCGGTACCCAATACTTTCCTTTCGCTAAGACTGCTTTTACACAGTTCGACTATTGAATTCAATTCTGCTCGCATGTGGAAGAGAGGGGGTGAGAAGAAAAGGGACGACTAATTCATACTAATTCACTCATATAGAAAGTATTCTTCATGAATGCATACAACCGATTTCTACTGGGTACCGCTACTTTCGTTTTGCCGATTTTGTGTTGTTGTGGTAACTTGTAAATAAACCTTTGTTTACAAATTACGACAAAGAGAAAGTTGAACTATAGGTAAAAATACGGGGGAAACTTTCTATTTGGCCGTTTGTTAAAGGTGCGGTGGGCGTAGGAGGAGTGGGCGTGGCACCTCCAACCGACCTTTTTGGAGAGGGCATGAACCGCCATTGACTAAAATACAACCCTTACCACCTAGGCCCTCTATGGTTCCCTACGGACACCTTAGAAATATAGCAAAAAATCGCAATTTTTACCTGCGTCCACAGTATTTTTGCGTAGAATTCCTTTCTGCGTAGGCGGACTACGGCCGCGCTTAGGGATTATAACCCTTACTACGTAGAATTCTCCTTACTGTGTGACCTAACTGTGATATAACCTTGGGAAAGGATGAGGTAACTAGAATTCCCTTACTGTGTGGAAAACCTGGGGCTGCCGCCCAGTGATGTTTATTTTGGTTACTGGGTGTTTTATAAAAATATCTTGTATAGGGATGTTCCGATACAAGTAAATACGAGTACGTACTCGATACTTTTGTTTCGATACCTACTACTTTTTTTATTTATTCGAATCGTTGTTTCGATTCGTACTTGGTCTCGAAAGAAAAGTACTTGTATCGAATCGATTTGAGCAAGTGTCATATCTTGTCTGCGTCGTTTTTATGAAAAATAATTGTTTTAAGCAATGACACCGCCAAAATCTAAAGTATGGATATATTTTTACAAAATTACTGATACTACAGCAAAGTGCAAGGAATGCTTTAAAACCGTAAAGTTTTGTGGGAACCTTTCAAAGGTTGAAATTGTTGGAGAAAGTCGAAGCAAAGGTGGAAGGTCGCCTCCGTGATTTGCAGATGAATCGTCCAGCTACTTCGACAAGTGCTCCCAAGGTAAAGACTACATCCTTTGACGGCACGATTCCTTTCCAAGTCTTTAAGCTCCAGTTCGAGAAGACAGCTACAGCAAATCGTTGGAGCAGGAAGGATAAATCCGCTGCTCTGTTCGTGGCATTAAAAGGACCTGCAGCGGAAATCTTGCAGACAATTGCTGACCGGGAAAGAAACAATTACGATGCATTAATGGGTGCAGTGGAAAGACGTTACGGTAGCGAGCATAGGAGACAGATTTACCAGATGGAGCTGGAGAATCGCTGCCATAAATCCAACGAGACTCTACAGGAATTCGCCTCCGAGATTGAAAGGTTCGCTCATTTGGCAATTGGAGATGCATCTTTTGAGCACCTCGAAAGAGTAAAAATCCAGAGGTTCATCAACGGAATGCGGGACGTGTATACCAAGCGAGAGACGTACGCGAATCCAAAGCCAACATTTGCTGAAACTTTCTCGTATGCTCAGACGAGTGAAACGGCGGCGGTCCTAAGTAGACCACCCTACAAAGCACATCGCGTGGAAGTGGAGATACCGGACGAGACAAATGAAATGCTGAAGAAGATTATCCAACTGCTGGGCGAGAAAAAGCATGGCTCTGGCAAATGTTTTAAATGTGGAAAGCCAGGCCACTTCGCCCGCGATTGCAGCGCAAGTTCCAGTGCGCTCAACAATTCAGCAGGACGCAAACGCAGACCTGAAGGAGACGAATCCAACTCCAATCAGTCGTTAAACTAAAACGAGCCAGCAGCAAGGGGCGCGCGCTGTCTCCCGCAATTGAATGCCCCATAATCTCCGTCTCGCGAATCGGCAGAAAAGCGAGCAACGTTACGGTTGCTTGGAGCAAGGTTGGGGACAGCAACTGGTGAGGACACCCAAGTTGTAGGAGAGGTAACATGCAAAGTCGCAATAGGGAATGTGACGGTGTTACACAAGTTTATAGTCGCGGCGATTATGGATGAAGTCATCATTGGATTAGACTTCTTGCTTGATCAAGGTATGCAGATCAACATGAAGAACAGGATTATGACGTATAGCAACATGGAAGTGCCCCTTAGGTTTGGGTATGATGGTCCGTACAGCAGCAGGCGAGTGATCCTAGAGGAAAGCGAGCAGATTCCACCGAAGTTAGAAGCAGTTGTGTGGGCAAAGATTGATGGAGATTGTGGGAGAAACAAATTGTGGGTTGTTGAAGCAACACAAAATTCTACACCGGACGTACTTATTGGTAAAACCCTGGCTAAGACGCAAAAGGATGGACGCATCCCAGTTCGAGTGCAAGAGGTAGAGGCAATCTTCAACTGCGAAAAATTACCTGAAAGCGATTCCATTGGCGACAATGACATTGCGGAAGACATTAATGCATGGACGGAAGGGTTGGAAGAAAAATACCAGCACAAAGCTAAGGAACTTCTCCGAACATACTCCAACATATTCGACAACGATGCCGACAAACCAGGCAGGACTAACGTAGTGAAACATCGCATTGATACTGGCGATGCAAGGCCAATCCGTCAAGCTCCTCGGAGTGTTCCACTTGCCAAACGTGAAACTGTTAGCCAAATAAATAAAAGAAATGAGCGAGAGTGGTGTGATTGAACCATCAGCGAGTCCATGGAGTTCGCCGATAGTACTTGTGAAGAAAAAGGATGGTCAAATGCGGGTCTGCGTAGACTACCGGAAACTAAACGATGTGACGAAAAAGGACAGCTATCCTCTTCCCAGGATCGATGACACTCTGGACTCGTTGACTGGAACAAAGTGGTTCTCAACACTCCACCTTAAGAGCGGTTATTGGCAAGTGGAGGTAAGTGACAAGGATAAGGAGAAGACAGCTTTCAGCGTTGGAGACGGTCTGTGGCAATTCACGGTGATGTCCTTTGGATTATGCAACGCTCCTGCCACTTTTGAGCCATGCTCAAAGGACTGCATTGGAAAACATGTTTGGTGTATCTAGACAACATTATCGTATTGGGTAAAAGCTTTGAGGAGCAGCTGAACAATTTGGAAGAAGTTTTCCAGAGGATAGCTGGCGCTGGTCTGAAGCTAAGTCCTAAAAAGTGCTCACTGTTCAGGCAGGAGGTGAACTACTTAGGGCACAAGGTGACAACGGAGGGCGTCTGTACTGCGAAGGAAAAGATAGAAGCAGTAAAGGATTGGCCAAGACCTAGGAACCTGCACGAACTACGAAGTTTTCTTGGGCTATGTACCTACTACCGCCGATTTGTTCCGAATTTCGCCAGCGTTGCTAATAGCCTCCACGAGCTCACTAGGAAAAATAGAGCCTTGGATATTGGGTTGGTTGTCGGCAATCGGTCGCAGAGTGGATTACTAACTGCGCGGAGTGTATTGCAGCTAAAGGGCCGAAATCCAGAAGTCATGGCCAGATGAAGCAATATAACTCAGGTGCACCTTTCGAGCGGATTGTCATGGATGTAGCCGGTCCATTTCCTATGAGCGCACAGGGAAACAAATACGTTCTTGTGGTTATGGACTACTTTAGCAAATGGCCGGAGGTATACCCGATTCCAAACCAGGAAGCTAAAACAGTAGCGGAGGTATTCACCTACAATTGGGTTGCGAGATACGGTGTACCTATAGAGCTGCACTCTGACCAGGGAAGAAATTTTGAATCGGCGGTGTTCTAAGAGATGTTCAAGATACTGGGTATCCGGAAAACTCGAACAACGGCTCTTCATTCGCAATCAGATGGCATGGTGGAACGGTTCAACCGAACCCTGGAAGAGCATTTGCGGAAGGTCGTGGACAAAACTCAGAAAGATTGGGATGTCCGCATACCCCTGTTCCTGATGGGATACCGGTCAGCAGTGCATGAAACAACGGGTAAAACTCTTGCAAGGGTAATCTTCGGCAGTGAGGTCCGTTTGCCTAGTGACCTGAAGTTTGGAGTAACTGGCGATGCAAGGAGAATTGGGAAAGAGACGTCCAACCAACATCCTGGAGAGGAGTAAAGAGAAATACATGCTCTTTTGAAACAGCAAACTCAAATTATGAGTGACAAAATGAAAGCCAGGTATGATACGGCAATGAACTCCGAGGGTTTCCAAGAGGGAGACTTAGTGTTGCTGTACAAATGTCAAATGCATGGCGAATTTATACAAGGTTGTGTTCCAAGAATGATAGAATATTTCTCCATGAACGAAATACACAAGATCACGCCTTCCCGAAAGAAAGAAAAAAGTTATTTTCTAGCTGTTGAAATCTCGACGCCATCTTTG